TTCTAGCGTCTGGAGTTTAGAAATGCTGCTTAAAAGTCTAGTTACCACATACACGAATTAAAAGCTGTTATTTTAGGGACTTCCCTGGCGGTCCAGTGGTTAGGACTCTGCGCTTCCACTGCAGAGGGCATGGGTTCCATCTCTGGTCGGGGAACTAAGATACGTGGCGCAGCCAAAAAAAAAAAAAAAATAGCTGTTATTTTATAAACTAGTTAGTGAACTAACCAGTTAGTGAACTTTGTGACCAGAACTGTTTCCTATGAGTAATGTTAAGGGGCATGAATAATAACCACCTTTTCAGGATAACCGTACCTGAAATCACTCGTTTTACAGCTGAACAAACTGCAGGCCAAGGACAGGTGACGTGACTGTGAGACCAGAGGAGCCCACAGCTGCAATCCTGGTCCAGAGCCCTGCCTTCACATTTAGGACGTGATAAAGATTTGGTTCCTCTAATTGATATAGAGTTTAGGCAACATAGTAATTTCAAGATAACTTGTACTTTACTTAAAATAGATTTTGAATGACATCAAACCAGGACTTGATTCAAGGGCTGAAGAGCTGTCGAGTTTATTAATACCAACTGCTCCTGGAACACGGGCTCCTTTTATTTCAGGTGGGGGAGATGAGAACAGATTCCCTCAGAGGAAGCCACCTGCTGGGTATATAAAAAGGATGGGGCAGCTGCCATTTTTCTGGCTTACTGTGCAGAGATTTTGAAATTTTAAGTTATTTTGTACACTTTTTTTCACACCTGCATCCAGGCAACAGAATGAGTCCATTTGAAGTTACGACCAAAGACTCCAGCTGCCCCTCAGCTCTGACTGGCACTCCGGGCCCATTCACTTGCCCCATCTCCCCAGTGAGAGTTTACACACACCTCCCACCAACGGCTGCAGACTTCCAACCCTTTTTCCGTCTTAGCCCTACACTGGCAACGCGGAAGCTTTGGAAGAGAACGATCCCGTTTTCCCAGTACAAAATCTAGCAAGCTACCTGCATTAACATCCATCCATTCACTCCAGAACCTATGCACCACTAAGTTACAGACTTTTGTTTTGGTCACTGCTTTATCCTCAGTACCTAAAATAGTGCCTTGTAAATAAGAGGTACAACAGGTCCGCAATAAATACTTGAATAAATGAGCAAAAACACTGCCCTCCCTTCTGACACGGGAACTGGCACTGTCCCTGGGCCTGTTGGAGGCTAACCTCGTCCTAGCTCTCGCTCTTTCTTGCCAGCCCACTCGAGTCCAATCGGCGCGTAATACGTTTTTCTCCTTCCAAGTTAGAATGCTCCCTGAGCTCCCCTGCCCCTCAACTGCATCCCACTTCTATTTCCCTTTACGTGAGAACCGGAGCCGCCCAGTTGCTGGCTCTGCTTCAGTCCCCTTCTGCTCCCACTCCCTTCTTGAAACATTTTCTTCACTTTTGTTTCTGGTGTGTCACATTTTTCTGGTTTTTCTCACTGAGAGATCTGGGAGTCTCCTCCGGCTGGCCCCTTTCAAATGCTGGGGTACAAGGCCCACCACTCCCTCTCCTGTGGTTGCTTGCTACTCAAAATGTGGTCCCTGAACCAGCAGCGCTGGCATCACTGAGGAGCTTGTTGGAAGCTAGCGTCTCGGACCCCATGCCAGACCTACTGAATCAGCATCTGCATTTTTGGAAAATTAGATGACTCACGTGCTTATTAAAATTTGAGAAGCACCGATCTAGTTACATGAGTGATTTCAGTCACATGACTTTAAACTCCCTTCACAGGCTAACTCCCAAATATTTATCTCCTGTCCCTTCCCCTAACTTCAGCCCCCCAACTCCGCGCTGGAGTCTCACTAGAAATCTATCAAGCACCTCGAACCTAAGTGCAAAACAGAAATCTTGATCCCTCAAGCCCAAAACCCAAGTCATCCTTGTCACTCCTTTGCTTTCCAATCTCTGGACCAAAGTCCTGCTGATGGCTGTACCTTTAAACACAGGCAGTCCTACCGCCTACCACCACCTCCGCAGCTCCCACCCTAGTCTAAGCCAGCAATATTTTTGGTACAAAGACTTCTGACAGTCTCCTATACCTCCCTATCTTCACCAAGGCTCCCTATGATAAGTTTGCACAAATTCTCCATCATGGCTTCCAAGAAGCCCCTCCCACATTACATCAAATGCTCTAGTCAAACTGACAAGACTGTTCTGTTCCTCCCTCCTCTAAATCTTTGCCTGCCTCACTTCACTATTTCTTTCCGGTCTCAGCTCAAGGATCACTTCCTTAGAGAGACCTTCTTTAACCACATTAAGCAGAAGACTCACCTCCCTTTCTACTCATTTCCCCTCTCCTTACTCCGCTGTCCTTTCCTTTTGGGATTTAACACCATTACCTGGAGATATATATATATACATAACTCTGCCCCTAGAATGTCTGGTCCATGAGCAGGGACTGTTTCCTGTTTTTAAACCATCACTACTTAGAACAGTGCCTAGCACACAAGAAGCACTCAAGTACTGAGTCTTCAAGTATTGTTGGTGGAACTTTTGGGGACAGGGGACAAACTCTCATGTACGTATCCACACTTACATAGGCTTCAGTCACACAAACCTGGATTTAGAGAATCCACTAGTGGTTTTCAATAAGTTCAAATTTTCATAATATGGCAGTGGTTCTGTAACTTTTCTGTACATTACAATCACCTAGGAATTTTTTAAAAATTCTAATATTAAAACTACATTCCAAATGAATTAGGTCACAACTGCTGGGTGGGACACAAGTATTAGTATTCTTTGAAGCTCCTGAGGTAATTCCAACGTGAGACAAGTTTGGGAACCACTGGTATATAGTATGAGTTGGTAAGCACGGTATGAAATAGTATATGAAATCTATTATACTTAAAAAAAGAGGGCTTCCCTGGGGGCACAGTGGTTGAGAATCTGCCTGCCGATGCAGGGGACACGGGTTCGGGCCCTGGTCCGGGAAGATCCCACATGCCACGGAGCAACTAGGCCCGTGAGCCACAACTACTGAGCCTGCACGTCTGGAGCCTGTGCTCCGCAACAAGAGAGGCCGCGACAGTGAGAGGCCCGTGCACCGCGATGAAGAGTAGCCCCCGCTCACTCCAACTGGAGAAAGCCCTCGCACAGAAACGAAGACCCAACACACCCAAAAATAAATAAATAAATAAATTTATAAAAAAAAAAATCAGTCATTCTCAAAGAGAACACATCTTCCAGGACCTTCCATGCTTGTTTTCCTGTCAAGCCTAATCCAAAATTTGGGACTTCTATTTGTAGGTTCATTTTTTCCCCATATGCTGATGCAAATTTATGTATGAAAGTGTTGACCTGTATGTGAGTCACATCTGGAAGCTTTGGGGGGCTTTGCACATACTGATATTTTTAATGGTGTCAGGTGAACAGCTGTATCCTGGTAACAAGGATATAATCACTAAGACAGAATGCTATATTCTCAAGAGAGAAAAGGATTTCTTCACAACTCAGTATTTCTTGCTCAATATAATCAACTCCAGTCATCAATCAAAATATCCTTAGGACAGAAGCTAATAAAATACTGTGCATTTACCCGTCTCTAAGCTCACCTTTAAACTGTCTTCACACCACAGAATGAAGGACAAAATTAATGAAAGAGAAAAACAAGTCCTTTGATTATTAAAATCCTCACTACAGTGCAAATACTGTAGATTTCAAAAGAAACTTGGAGATATTTAAGCCAACTGCATACTACAGATGAGTAGCCTGACACCCAGATGAGGTGAAATGATATGCCTAAAAGTCACACAGGAGAGCTAGAAGAGAAAAACACATTTTTTTTTCTTTTTCCAAACAAGCAAACAGGATTTTTCACATGTTAGTCAAAAAGAATCAAGATCATCAGATTAGGAAGAAATGAGGAATAAAAAGTATGTTACACATAGATTTTAAGGACTAGTCAATGCACTGCCCCCCACCCCTGAAAAACCAAAAAATTCTCCAAATATACGGACATATATCCATCAAGATGTTTACCCTTAAAATATCAGAATCTTGGAAAATTCAATTTTAGAATCTTGGAAAATTCAATTTACAAATACATTATTAATTGCATTGTTATTATGAAATTAGTTCATTAAACATGAAGACACCAAACAGCACCAATACCAGAAAGTTAAGAAAGTAAATACACTATTACTTAAAATAATATATAATTTCTGATTGGGACAGAAATGACCTATAGCTACTAGCAAAACTATTTAAACTACTGTCTGACATAAAGGCAATATTTAAAGACTAGTATATGCCATTTTCCCGCTGATAGGCCTGTGGCTAGGCATCCCAGCCATGGGTCAACATGAGAAATATTATTAAATGTCTTTTTAAAATTGCTCAACCTTGAACCATGATACTGCATAACCCAAATTTTGCCAATACACGCCAATGGCAGCATTTTTGGTATCCTAACTGTCCCTACTTGTCCCAATTAAAACAAAACAACTCCCTTATTAAGCACTAGACTGAATGCAGCTATGAAGCAGCAGCAAGGTATTTATAAATGGGCTACTGACAGTGTATCAAAATGCTACTATGGAAAATAGAGCAGCAAATACTCTAATAAGAGCACATTATTCCACATGGAATCCCAAATTATTCTTATCTCTAGTTCCTTAAATTCTTGGAAGACTAGAGATGACCAAGTGTATGTATAAATGGGGCCAGGAAGAGAGAAGCTCTGAATGGTATAGTGTTCATATTTTAAATTATCCAAGATAATCTGAATGCTTACAGAAAATTCCAACTATATCTAAATTTGTTTAAGCACATAGACTAAAATGCTAGCAAAACTTTGGTGTTTACCCCAAAATTAGCATTGCATTTTCAGTGAAAAGGAAATAGGCATGGTTTGTGAAGTTATTATCATGTTCACACCACCCTCCCCTACTCCCTGCTCCTTTCATCAGGTGATCTGAAGATTACCTGGCTTAAAATATTTGGTAATTCAGTGCAGAAAATTAAGGTCACAGACAAAGTACAACAACTTTTAATACACCATTAATACTAATGATTAAAAATTATTGCATAGTCTTATGCATTTACCCTAAAACATTTTCTGAAAGTAAATTCTGGAAGAATTATATAAAAGACAAATAACCCTTTAAAATGCAGATGGCCTTTACTACCTCGATCTTCTCTCCTTCTTTGTCTTTTCAGTACTTTTGTCCATCGTTTTCTCATTATCTCCCCTGCACTTTGGGCAATACCATTTCCCCTTTGGTTTGTAGGTAAGTGAAACACATGAAAAGTGAAACCATTCAATTGGACACTGTTCATTGTCACATCCGATCATTTCCCCATAAGACACTTGGTTACATAAACAATATGTAGGTTCATTGGGATCTATTGCAAACTCAACAGGCGAAGCTTCCCTTTCCTGCTTGGCCTTGGAACGTTTCTTTTTCTTGGCTGACTTGGATTTCTTTTCTTTAGGTGGCTGATCATCACAGTCTTCAATCCCATTCGTCATGTGACACAGATCACGGCTTTCACTGGTTCGCTGTCGGCGGGGTCTTCTCGAAGATCGTTCTGGTTGGCTGGAATCCATCTTTGCTTTATCTGAGGCTCGCTCACTTTCAGGAGGATCTTGAAAACACTGTGAATGTAGCTCCATTTGCCTTGCCCGATTTTCCACCAATTCGAGCATCTGTGTGACAATCTGAATTTTTTCATCTCCCAATTCTTGACTATTGATTAATGCTCTCTGGAGATGCTGCTGGAGGCGTTTTTTCTGGTTTGAATCATCTTCTTTCTTATATTTTTCATAGACATCATCAATTTCCTTTAATGTTTCTAAAAAAGGAAAAGAAAATATATGGTAGCACATATAACATTTTTCAAGTTAGTTATTTTTCACAGAATTGGTACAGTTAGAATGAACTCAAACCATAAAACCACACTCCTCCATAGTATGAATACATGAGAAACATTTCATTTCCCTTACAAAGATGACATATTATCCAACATGAAAGTACATTTAGAGATAAACTAATAAAAAGAATGGGGCTTCCCTGGTGGCGCAGTGGCTGAGGGTCCACCTGCCGATGCAGGGGACACGGGTTCGTGCCCCAGTCTGGGAGGATCCCACATGCCGCGGAGCGGCTGGGCCTGTGAGCCATGGCCGCTGGGCCTGCGCGTCCGGAGCCTGTTGCTCCGCAACGGGAGAGGCCACAGCAGTGAGAGGCCCGCATACCGCAAAAAAAAAAAAAAAAAAGAATGAACACAAAACTCTCTTAATACTCATTAATCTATATTAGAAAGGATAAGAGATGTGTGGCTAATTATTAATCAAAAGTCTTTACTCGGGCAGAAACATTCTGTGCCACTTTAGAGTTCACCCAGTGCCATATCACCTATACTTCAGGTAAACCTCAAAACTACCCTGTATATAAAATTTCCAGGCTGGACTCCAGCCGTAAAACTTAAAAAGGTTCCAGGACTACTCTAGATTACTGTCCAACTGTGTTTACAGGATTTATAGTTCAATCGATGACTTGCTTCAGAACTCTAGAGAGACGCTATACCTTGACTTTCATATCACCCCCTGGACGTTCTTAACAAAGCAGACACAAGTAACTCTTAGCTTCCCATCATATTAGCCTGAATGGCTCTTTTATTTCATTACATGGGAGAGTCTGAAAATCAAACTATTTCCGGAGCAGGTTTACATTCAGGTTCTGGCATCAACTGACTAAGCTACTAACAAAATTATAGTAAAGTCGGCATTGGATCACTGTGCTTTTGTAGATAACTCGGCCGTTGGTTCTCAGCTTTTTGAACTGCTGATTTAGATATTGTATAGCATGAGGACCCACTTACATCAATTAAAAATGGCCGAGTCATTAGAAGGTATACAAATATCTGAAAATATAGTTCCAGATGTCACCAAAATTTACATAGATGTCTTATTCAAATCTGTTCTGTTTCTCATCCTTATGAGATACTATGCTATCTGAAAGAGTTCTGTCTTAGTAAAGGTGGAGAAACAAAAATTAACTGGAATTTATCACATCCGATGCCATATCACTGTTCTATCTTCTAATATCACTGCTCTAACGACAACAGAAATGTTAGGCGACCAAATACATACACTGGGGGTGTCTGTGAGTAAGGTAACATAGAGCAAGTATTCAACACAACTTGTGAATTCCCGCCGCCCTGGAGAGTGTAGGTACTCACACTTGACGGACAACTATTTAACCCGGGATTCATGACGATGTGCTCCCACACATTTGAGGGTACTCATACCTGCAGAGCATATTTTTAAACAATGTTCACATCTAGCCCATTTCCCCAGCTAGGTATGTAAGTGGATTTCTTAAGAACCCAATTTTCCTCCAGGAAAAATAAGGAAATTATATATTTTCCCCTCAAACACACAAAATGTGAGGTTTAAAAAATAAAAGCAGGGCTTCCCTGGTGGCGCAGTGGTTGGGAGTCTACCTGCCAATGCAAGGTACGCGGGTTCATGCCCTGGTCTGGGAAGATCCCACGTGCCGTGGAGCAACTGGGCCTGTGAGCCACAACTACTGAGCCTGCGCGTCTGGAGCCTGTGCTCCGCGACAAGGGAGGCCGTGATAGTGAGTGGCCCTGCTTGCCACAACTAGAGAAAGCCCTCGCACAGAAACAAAGACCCAACACAGCCATAAATAAATAAATAAATATATTAATTAATAATAATAATAAAATAAATAAATAAAAGCAAAACGTATTCCAAACACTCTGTATCGAATAATCAGGAATTAGAAGCTAAACATATTATTTCATAGCAGCACATTGATATTATACATGAAGTAAACATTCACACTTTTAAGACACCTTAGTTACCCGGTGAAGTAACACTTACTGAGCCTCTTCCATGTGACTTTCTCAGTAATCCCCACAGCAATCCTATGAGGGAGCCACCACTTTTATATGTGAAGAAAATTAAGCTCAACAGGTATCAACCCCAGACTTTGAACTCTGCCATTATCTGTCGGTCTGGCTCTGCTCTTTAAGCACTTTCTACTCAGCTGCATGGAAGGCACTTAAAATTAAGTACGAAATTTTAGTTCAAAGGTTATTTACCTTTGAACTATGAACGAGAAATACTGGAACAAGAATACTGGAACAAAAATTGAGGTTCTCTAATAACCATACCCCATAATAAATACTTCATTCAATTGTGAAATTGTTTTCTTCATTTCTCTATGTTTTTAAGGCTACTTTTGAGGTTCTTCAGTAACTTCTGAAAGTGTCTCAAATAGGTAGGAGAGAAATTTCTTTGACTACTTATATAATTTATATCATCGAATTTTGCTGTAGGTATTAAATCTAAAACCAGGAAATACTTAAGAACTAGCAAAGAAACAAAAAAACATGAAAAACCAAGAACACACAAGTATATAAAGCTAATAGAAAACTGAAAGTTGAGCTTAGTAAGCATGTGCAGAGTAAAAACTAGATCACTGTTTTTATATTACTCTTCAAAAGAACTACAATTTTAATGGGGCTAAAATTTTTTTAAATCTCTCGATCTTTCAAGGCCTAATACTGTTTCTCATGTTACCAAAGCTACTTCTGTCAACTCTAGATGGTCAAGATGGCAGATTTCCCTGGAACAAACTGCCCCCCACACACAATTCAAATGAAAAAAAAAAAATAGCTTAACTTTCGTGAAGGCAAACATGTCTTTAAAGAAATGTAAAAGCCTGCAAGCTTTACAAACTTCAGAGTTATGATTATTTGAAAAACTAAAAATGTTCAACATACAATTTTTGAGCACACATGTACAATATATAACATTGTAAGGTTACAATTCAGGTATGTGCTACATGTCTATAGAAAATACCTTTGGAGAGCTTTTATTTGAAAAAACAAACAAAAAAAGATTTAAATAATTTAAAAACGAGCATGTGCACCTGCAGCAGCCAGGCTGTGGAGTCAAACATTCCCCACTTAATTGGACAAGTTACTTAAACTCCTTGTAAATTTTAATTTGTCTGCAAAATGAATTTTTACTGCATTGAGTTGCGGCGATTAAATGAGATAATGTTCTGGACGTGGTGCAGCAATTGACACACAGTAAGTTATCGTATTAATTTGCTTCCCGCCAACAGAGATCAGTCCTGTCAGTCATATGAGTTCAAAAGGCAGAAATAAATTATAGGTGAAAAAACAGAGACACTTATATGTTCTATCAGGCTACAGCCCCGAAAATATCACCCCAGAAATGCGTTCCTTAGACACTAAATCATAAAACTAGCGACGTGTCGAAAAACAGAGAATGGGTCCAAGAAGTTATCTTTTTAAAGTCCGTATGGCTGATTCCACATTATGTCCAAGGTCTGTTCCTTGATTCAGGGTTATTAAACCAAACGGCTCCCCATTTAAACTCCTCCCCTTGTAGTTACAGGCGAAAGGGCCACCAATGGTAAATAGTAAATGTACTCTCTGTACAAAAGCTGATTCCAGGGAATCAACCCTAGCTCCTTGGGTCTGACCACAAAGGGTGGCTTTTGCCTCCGTACTTAAACTTGGCGAAGTAGGGACCCAGGGGTTAAGAGACGCCAGGCGGTTGCCCAGTCAACTAACCCACATCCTCCAGGGGCCCGGAAGTGACGCAAGGCCCGGAACCTACGCGGTGCAGGGGCAAGCGACGATCACACTAGCTGTGTCTTTGTCGTGATTGAGTGACTGGGAAAAAGTCGAAAAATCAAACAAACATGTCCCAAATCCCAACACTGACTCCGCTCAGGACGAGCTAATGTCCCGCACGGTCCCCTCCCGAACAGCCAGTGTCGCCCAAGCCTTCCTGCAACCAGCCATTTTCCAGACGGGAGGGAGCGCGCGCGCGTCCGCGCCCCGCCCATGTCCTTCGTCACGACCGCAGGCCCCGCCCCCAGCACGGGCGGGGGGTCCACCCCGCCACACACACCCCTCTCCCTTCCCCCGCGGGGACCCCTAGCCTTTTAACCATTTGGCTGAAAGAGCCGTGAAAGGCTGTGGCCCGGAACTTTCCCTGGGGTGGGAGAGGGAAAGCCTCTATTCCCAAGCCGGGAGCCGGAGAGCCGAGGGAGGGACCTCCCCGGAGGCCGCCTTCGCAGCCCTCGCGCGACCCCTCCCCCCTGCACGTTCCAATGCATCTGCTCTCAGGGGGTGGGAGCCCGAGGGGGGGTGGGGAAAGCCAGGCCCCGGAGGCCAGCGGGAGTCCGGCCGCGGCCGGCCGCTCACTCCCCACAGTCCCCGCCCGGTTGCACGCTCCCCGGCCGGGGCAGGAGGGTCTGCGGCACCGGGCAGGCGAGGGCCGGAACAAATGCTTCTTAAAATGGCTGATTCCTTTCCACACCAGCTGCAGCCGCTGGGTCTGCAGCGGGGGCTGACGAGCGGCCACCACCCTCACCCTTGAGACCCCCGAGAAGTCCTCGCCGACCGCAGCGGGGGAAGGGAGGGCCGCGAACCCGGTCTCCTGTCCCGTTCCCCCGTCCCACACACCAGACCCCCTCTGGGCAGTCGGGGAGACTGTCACAGGAGAAATGGAAAGTGGCACTTCCCCGGGCAGGCTCCGAGCGACCGTGCCCGGCGGCCAGCGGACCCGAGTGGGGGAGGACCTTACCGGCAGCCCCGCGGCCCCTACCTTGATATTTGTTGTCCAGCTCTCGCAGCACGGACACGTTCCTCTGCATGTCGTGGGGCAGCGACTCCACGCACTCGAGGTAGTCCTGCACATAGCAGGTGAGAAGCCGGCTCCGCTCCCCGGTCAGGAGCGCGGCCGACGAGTAGAGTTGCTGTTGCTGCTGTCCTAACATCCTGCCGCCGCTGCTGCTCCTCGCCGCCGCCGCCGCCGCCGCCTCCGCATCCAGCAGCCACACATGCAACAGCCACGGCCGCCGCGGCTCCTCTGCTCGTCAGCCCGGCGCCGCGGGGACAGCGGCAGCCGCTCGAGAGGGCACAGCCGAGTCCCCCGATCTCTACTCCCCGCAAAAGAAGCCCTCACTCCCCGCCCCCGCGGTAACAAGCCCAGGGGCGGGGCGAGACCGGGGCTCCCTCCTTTTCCCCCTCCCTCCTCAGGACTAGAGCAGCGGGGATCCCCCCAGCGGAGCTGGCGCCGGGGTCCCGGGCGTTGACACTTCCTGTCCCCCTCGGAGTCACCAGATGCTACCAATGCCGTCTCGTACCTCGGATCCCCATGACAAGCCTCTCGCTGGCCTCTTTCCTCCCAATCACCCTCAGTGCCTGACGGAGAGTCTCTCACTGGACCGCCCCCGCCCCTCAGGCTGCGGCCGCCTCTGCGCCTGCGCAGGACTCCCTCCTAATAGGGCCGGGGGCCCGCCCCTACCGCCCAGCCGAAGGGTTCGCATTCTCCCGCCTTCCCTCCGCCACCCGGGCGATTGGTCTGTCAACTCTTGGCCCGGGGGGAGGGTGCGGAGGGCGGCCAAACGGTAGGCTTCGCCCCGCCCCCCTTAAAGGGGAAGCACTGTCGGGTCCGCCTCTGCTCAATGTCTGAATGGGACTTGAGAGGGCAGGTGGCTGACCCCTTCCTTCCGTCCTTCCCACAGGGAGGGGGAAGCTTGGCCCAGCTCCCTCGGCCCGGTGTTACCGACTTCTTCCCCATCAGATGGATGTAGCGCGGCCCCTCGCGAGCCTTAAAAGGAGCAGCAGGCGGCCACCTTACGCAGCGACCCGGAGGGAGTCCTGCGGGGACTACGCGGCGGGCGTGAGGCGAGCGCGGCTCCGGGCATGCGCGGCGGCTGTGTGCCCGCCGGGCCGGCACCGCCTTCTGGCTGTGTCTTCCTCCAGCCGCGGCCTTCGGGCTCCCGGAGCACCGGGGCTGATCGCCGAGGTAGGCGGTGCCCTCGCGGCCCCCTCGCGGCCCCCTGCGTTTCTTTCTCCCTTAGTCCGTCCGCTTTTTGAATCTCCCTCCTGGCTTCTGCGAGCTCCCGCCCTTCCGCAGACGCGGGGGTCTCCCGCCGCACCAGGACGTGCAGGTTTAGTCCACCCTAGGGCTCCTGAGGAATCGCGTTTAGTTTAGGCTCACTCTGCCCCATACCTGTTTGTCCGACAGACAACCTTTTAAAAAAAAAAAAAACGTTCTGGGGATCAGAACGTTTAAACATTAAACGTAGGCAAGGGCTTCCTGGCGGCGTGAGGGGCACCACCACCTTAACATCTACGTAAGACTGAAAACCACTGGGGGCCGGGGTCCAGGGGTGATGGAGACGCGAGGACAGACCGAATCAGAAATCAGGCCCACGTCCTCATCTACGTGACCGGCCGACAGGGTTTAATTCCTATCTGGGGTTAAATGAAATGAAATGCCAAGCAGAGGAGTTGATTTTAATTCCAGATGGACTCAGTGTATATAACAGCGTGTATTTTTCAAAGAAATGGGTGTAAAGAGAACGAATACGCGGAGAATTTTAACGGAATGCCTATGTAAACAAACAAGCACTATTGTGAGTAGTACATTTGAGTTAAAAAGAAAACGTGAGGGGGCGATAAATTGGGATTTCTCCTTATATCCAATTGGTTTGCAGCGGTGGGGCACCTGTATGATGACCTATTTAGGGCAGTTTTGAAACAGCTGTTAATAGTACGTAACCACTGACAGGGAA